GGATAAATCGTCAACACACAACTGCCAACATCGACGTCAACTCTGACCCGGATCGGCAATGCTGACCTCAACCCCAGCCACAACCCCAACCTCAACCCCATTGCTCTATTGCATCAGGTGGTTGCAAGAGGCCAGGCGACAATTCCGGCCAATCAGTAGAGGAGAGACAAGGTCATCCTCCACCTGGCCAATCAGACGCCTGCTCAACAGAGAACCAATCACAAGCGCATACAACCAAGGTCCAATCAAAGGCCGACTTGACAAGGGACCAATGAGAGACGAGCTGTGAACAGGTTTGTCTGTAAAGGCATCATTAGCCAGTCTCTCGCAGAGGCGTCACACGTGCACGCCAATCGTGCCAGAGTGGAAGCGTCCCAGTCGCTTTCTGCCAGTCTGCACCAGTTTGCCGGCATCGCTTCAACTGGACACTATGCTGCTCCGCACGTCTGCCTAGGCCGCAACTGAGGAGTATGTAGCACTTGTGGTGTTGCCGGCGGCGGCGGCGGTGGCGGCGGTGGTGGTGGTGTTGGTGGTGCCAGCACCATCAGCATTATCATCATCATCATCATCTTATTCTTAGTCTTATTCTTCTTCAGCAGCACAAAAGTCAACTTTGCTGCTTCAGAACGGACACAGGCTAGTGGGATAGTTGAGAGCAGAGAGAGCGAGAGTGATAGAGAAGAGGGCATGAGACGTCATGTGACTGTTGGTGTGTGGCGCGTCTTGGTGTTGCTCGTGGTCGCCCGTTTGCTCGTCTCGAGTCTGGCGCCTGGCGACACGGCAAGCGACGCGACGCGACACGCTTGCTCGATCACGGGCGACTTGTGCGTCTGCGAGACGACGTCGACGAGGACAGACGGCGACGGCGACGGCGACGGCGACGGCGACGGCGAGTCTGGACTGGACGGCGAGAGTATGTTGGTGGTGCGGCTGGTGCGTGTCTGTTGTCAACCGGGCGTGCAACGCTTGCGTCTGCGTGGCGCCGGCATCGTCCGGTTGCCGGGCGAGCTGTTCGCTCGAGCCGCCTGCCACGAGTTGCGCGAGTTGAGTCTCGAGGCGACCGGCCTGACGGCGAGGGGGGCGCGCCGTCTGGCGTCCGGCGGCGCCGCTTTTGTCGGCTTGCCCAACCTGTCGGTGCTGCGGGTCTCGGATAACCCCGGCCTGACGGCGTATCCACGCGCCGGGTTCGCCGGCCTCAACGCCAGCCTCGAGGAGTTGCGCTTGACCGGCAATCCGGTCACGCACTTGACCGGCCACGAGCTGGCCGGATTGGCCGCGCTGGGACCTGTCGTCGCGTCCGGATTGGTCGGAT